AAAAAAAAAAAAAAAAGCTGGAGAAATCAGGTAGAGAAGCAAATGTTTAAAATTTTGGTCACAAAAGAATATTTTATCCAATTTGTTATAAGCAGTAAATAGCTCAAAAAAAAAAAAAAGATTTTTCTGTGGGATTTTTTGACTCTGGAAAACAAAACATAAAAAGAGTCTGCAGTGTTTCAAAGAAACAAAAAAGTTGGCTCTGTGACTGTGGCTCAAGCGGCTAAGGCGCCATACACATACACCTGAGCTGGTGGGTTCGAATCCAGCCTGGCTAGCCAAACAACAATGACTGCAGCAACCAAAAAATAGCCGGGCGTTGTGGCAGGCACCTGTGGTCACAGCTGCTTGGGACGCAGAGGCAGGAGACTCACTTGAGCCCAGGAGTTGGAGGTTGCTGTGAGCTGTGATGCCATAGCACTCTACCCAGGGTGACAGCTTGAGGCTCTGTCTCAAAAAAAAAATAATCTCTCCACCCTCAATAATTTTAGTTTTCTATCTGTTTAGTCTTATGTAATTAACTTCTGTCTACTTGATGTTTGGTTAGCAATCCTTATGAATGTATTAGCACTTTGAATTAGAGTCCTCAAGTTTTTATACTAGTGCAATGGTATGATGTCCAAAGTTATCAGAAACCTGTATTCTAGAGTACGTTTCAGAGTTCTTTTCATGGATTCTCCTAAAGAAGCAGCCAATTTTCAACCACAGTTGATTATAAACCACTTTTTGAAAAGAATCAAAGTAGCACAATAATTGTATAGGACAAAAGTCATAAAAGCCACAGTCAAGGTCAGAGAAAAACTTTTGTTTCTGAGGCTGCTCCTGAGGACTTCGTTTTCAGGTATTGTTTTCTGAGCCCAAAAGTTGAATACACCAATGTGGAACCCACTGGATACAGCAGTTGACCGTATAGTCATAGTAGGTTTCATCATTACTGTTTTATGACTTTGGCAATATTATTTTATTCAGTATTGTTCAATCCTGTCATTTGAGTATCACTTTTACATTATTTTTCCTTTTACTGTATCTGGGTACAATCTATACTATTATTTACTTAATATTTTTCTTTGAACATACTCTTTGCAAAATGCAATCAATTTATTTAAAGGGCAACTCTGCATTACTACCCTAGTAGAAAATGTCTCACTCTGACCTAGAGACCTCACTAACACTCATCATGTGATCAACAAGTTTTGGTGAGGTCTTAAAATCTGCCAGCATCAAATTGACAGTTTATAGTTACTTAATCAGAAAGATTTAAATATAATAGAAAAGAGAATGATGTTCTCATTTCCTGTTTGAACAATTTTTGGGTTTTTTTTTTCCTTTTTAAATTTTCTTTTCCTTTTTTTTTTAAAGACAGCGTCTCAAGCTGTTGCCCTGGGTAGAGCACTGTGTATCATAGCTTACAGCAACCTCCATCTCCTGAGCTCAAGCAATCCTCTTGCCTCAGTTTTTCTATTTTTAGGAGACAGGGGTGGAGAGGGGGCTCTCACTTTGGTCAGGCTGGTCTCAAACCTGTGAGCTCAAGTTATCCACTGGCCTTGGCCTCCCAAAGTGCTAGGATTATAGGTAGGACCTATGGTGTCTGGCCTCCTGTTTGAACATTTTAAAAACTAAATTCTTTAAGCTATTTACCACAATTATCCATGTTCCCAAGATCTGGAAAAATGCTTGTTTAATTAATACATTATTTAATTGAAGCAATTTTATATGCCTAACTCAGGAAATATAAAATATGTGATCTGGAGAAGCTCACACTGTGGTGGAACATTTACAAAACTATATTTTTATTTCTCATACTTACTTTGTTGAAAGAAAAAAGCAAACTGTGCAATGACCATTTCATAGTAACTTTCATATAAGCACCCCATCCAGGTTTCAAGAACATGCATATAAGCAGCCTAAATCATCCATCAAGTCCTCCTAAGAAAACTGAGATATTATTATTCCATTCTGCTTATTAGGAATCACAGATTCATTGAGGTATCTAAGTTAATCAGATAGCAAGTATGGGATAATTTATTAGTCTCCAAAGGATTTCTAGGTTGTGTGCAATTTTTCCCTGTTGAAGCAGCTTGGATAGGTTCCCCCTCTCCTGCCCCCAGCAGTTTTTGGCCAGGGCTAGGTTTGAACCCACCCTCTCTGGTATATGGGGCTGCTACCTTACTCTTTTGAGCCACAGGCACTACCCTTGGACAGGTTCTTAATTAATGTGGAATACTAGAATGATCTGCTTCCATGCCCCAGTCAGTTCTGTTTTCAGTATTTTGTTCTCATTGATATGTCTCTTGCTTTTCCCTCTGCACATCTGAAAATTCTTGATTGACTTTGCTCTAACATTCTATTATTTGAGGGAATACTAAGTCAGTTTATATTATGGCTCTGCTTTTAAGGATCGGCTCTTCTTTTGGCATATTGGGGGGAAAAGTTAGGTTTTTTTATAGTATTATTTTTATTATCATAGTAATAAAATATTTATTTTTATTAGTACTTTTTCTAGAGACTGTGCATTATCTAGTTTATTTTTTCAGTCTTTGTGGAAATAAGCCCTACTCATATCTTTGATCTACAGGTAAAGAGACAGAGGATTTGGCATGTAACATTATATTAGTGCATTACCTACTATATTAGTTAAGGCTGCTATAACAAGGTGCCACAGACTGAAGGCTTAAACAACAGAAATTTTTTTTTTCTGACAGTTCTGGAGGGCAGAAGTCTAATATCAATGTGTCAGCAGGGGTAGCTTCATCTGAGGCCGTATTCCCCTGCTTATAAATGGTTGTCTTCTCCCTTTGTCTCCACGTCACATTTTTTCTCTATATATCTGTTGGTGGTTCCTTGGGGACCCCGACCTAGATTGGAGGTCAACAGGGGTGATAACTCTGGAGAAATAATTAGACTTTACACCAACTTAATGTATAAAGTCTGAGTAGCCTAGAGAGACTTACATGGACTCACATGCTACTGGCAGATTGAGAAAATGCAGCAGCCCTTTGACTCCTCAGAAACCTTTTATTGATTTCTAAGACAAAGAGTAAATGCAAATACAAAGGTGCCAAAATAGGATGAAAGAAACCCAAGCCCCCAGGAAGATTAGGTAAAAGGCAATGGCTGGGTAATTGGGAACATTAGCGTAGTGAATTGTCAACAACGAAGGATATCACACCTAGGAAAGGAGGAGAAAACAAGTTTCCTCTCTGCAGGGTAGACAAACCAGCTTCCCTAATTTAACTGTGGACCAGGAATTCAAAGGACTTAGCCCAGCCTGCCTGCTGATTCTCCTCCAGGGATGGTTTAGATAGATGACTTTACCCTGCCTGGGCTCCTCCATGCTCCTTTCATCTTTGGGTGGTCTTGATAAGCCCCCAAGGATGGCCTGTCTGCATGCTTTGCCCTGGATTGAAGCTGGGGGTGGGGGTGGGGCAGAGAGATCAGCCTATTTGTCTCCCTTACATATCCACGTCTAAATTTTCTTTATTTGCGTGTCATCCTTGCGCAGGGGCCATGCTAATCTTCTCTGTATTGTTCCAATTTTAGTATATGTGCTGAAGCAAGCACCAATTTTTCTCTTCTTAAAAGGAAACCAGTCATTTAATTACCTCTTAAAAGATCCTATCAACAAATATGGTTACATTCTGAGGTACTGGGGATTAGGAGTTCAACATGTGTGTTTGGTGGGGGAAAGGGGAGACATAATTTAGCCCCAAATAGCTGCTTGCTTTTATGGAGAATTGCCCACAGTCAGAGGTGAATGACCCTTCTCTGGACTAGGCCTGATTTTGGTTTTCATAATAAACAACGAGGCAGGCAAAAGGAAACTAAGAATGAGGTTAATGTTTAAACAGACACAGAAAAGAAAAGATCTGTTGCAGATAATTAAACATCTCCTCCACAGTTAAGACTTTTCAACTCTTAAATTAGACAGATCTAGACTTCCCATCCTCTGGGAAAGTGAACAAAGATCTTCCCAGTGGTGCTACTGCTTTGGAGAATGAGTTCTTATATTTCATTACTGTTTTCAAGACAGAAAAGATGGTCAGATGTGAGATTTAATAATAACTCCAAATCTCATTTGAGGTAGTTTCAGTGAACAGGTTTCTCTCTGCTCTTTGGAAGTATTATTTAGCTGCAAATTGGCACACATTTTAGATAAATGACAGAATGCCTGTAAGTATTATGTGATATATATATAAGTTGCAATTTTTGAATATTTTCTCTTGGAAAAGCTACACATAGATATTGACTGTATGTATGGGCTATTTTAAAGAAAGGTAGTTCTTAAGGGTTAAATTTTGTGTTTACTCCCCTCCTCCACACATACACAAAATTTATAGTGAAAGTCACTACCACTAGGTTCATCAACTGACTTACTCATTCTCCAAGTGACCTACTTAACCTAAGTACTCCCCTTCTCTGTCCATCAGATTGTTCATCCATAAAATAGGTATGAAATGATAACAGCCTCAAAAGGCTATTGTAAGCAGGTCAGACTTGGTGGCTTATGCCTGTAATCCTAGCACTCTGGGAGACTGATGTAGGCAGATCACTTGCACCCAAGAGTTTGAGATTGCTGTTGAGCTATGACTTAGGGCACTCTATCAAGGGTAGAGACAAAATAAGTCTGTCTAAACAACACTAGACAGAAAATTTAACTTACTGCATGGAGAATTTATCCATGGACCAATGAGTATGACTGTACTTATCTGTCAATTTCATACAACTGCATTTTAAATATTTTAAGGATTGAAAGTCCTGGAAAAATTTAGGTATTGATATTTTAAAAACATTTTAACAAATAGTATACCATTGATTCTATTTCCAATAATGGTAGACTAGACAACTCAGATCAACCCTGATACTTAGTCATAGAAAACATTGTGATTGGAATTGTAGGAGAGAAAAGGCTTTCCCTCTGCCTTCTGAGGATTTAATAAATGAGTCCATGAAATAAACTGACAACCGGCAAATTAACAGGAGAAAATGTATACAAATTTGTTATGTGCACATGAGCATTACATAAAGTAAAAACAAATACCCAGAAACTCAGTGACATCTAGAAGCTTATTATCCTCTTCATAGGGGAAGAGGACAAAACTTAGGGGAAGAGTAAAAAACCTTGAGGAAACATGAATGGGCCCTCCAAAAAATAGGTGATAGCCTGTGACAATGTCTATCTGGACATGGAGTTAACCTCCAGTCTCCTCTTGTGATACAGTGAATCTTCCCTGATTGATGAGATTCATGAAAAATGAGTTCCCTTGGGAGAATTTGTCTTTACTCAGATAAGGGGAGTTTTCTATTCCCCAAGTACCCTCAGTTTGATGTCCAAAATGGCATATTTTGAGGTGGCACCTCCTTCAACAGCGTCAGACAGATATCTGAACTAGGCTATTCAGGAGGCTGAAATGAAAGGATCACTTGAAGTCAGGAGTTCAAGACCAGCCTGGGTGGCCAGGTGCTGTGGCTCACACCTGTAATCCTAGCACTCTGGGAGGTCGAGGCAGGTGGATTGCTGGTGTCAGCAGTTCTGAGACCAGCCGGTGACACCACTGAACTCTACCCAGGGCAACAGAGTGAGACTCTTGTCTCGAAAAAAATAAATAAAAAATAAAAAGACCAGCCTGGGCAATATAATTAAGTACCTTTGCTCAAAAAACAAATCAAATAAAACAAAAGGAAGAAAAGGAGGCAAGATGAAAAAGAGAAGGAAACCTAGAAAATTTTTCGGCAGGGAAATAAGAGAAAAATTTCCACACACTAGTATGGAATGATCTATCTATCTATCTCTATATATCGTGAACCAGCGCTTGGGAAGGGGAGTGAACCAGAGTGGAATTAGTGGGGACTGAGAAAAATACAGCATAAGAGACATAAACAAAGGATGGGATCAGGAGGACTGAATGAACTGATGACTACAGCCAGCACCAAAACACAAAAATCAGCTTTATTTTATAGTATCTATACAGAGTTGTCCAGGGAAGTAGCATACACAAAATGGGGGAATAGCATAAACAAAAAACATAGTTTTGGTCTTACAGTAGGAAAATGTTAATGGTTTCTTCTCAAATTCATTAACATATGACAAGAAGCAAGAAGAGAAAGATCAATTGGATCCCACCATAGTTAAACAAAACAAAGGAAGGACTATGTGACTTAGTGGTTACTACTTAACTTTGTTAGCATATGACAAGGAGAGGGAAGGGAAAGATTATAGTGTCTCTGCATAGTCAACAAAGAACTATGTGGCTTCTAGTAGAGGGAGCAGGAGGAAAGGAATATGGCTATTTTAGGAATGGAGAAGCAGTTGGGGGCTCATTCCTTGAATGTTCCCCAGGCTGTAAGGGCCTTGCATTCTCACAGCCCACACTCCTTATCTCCTCCTTTCTTAGCTTTAATTGATGAAGAGAGGTTTTTAACTGGAGAAATTACTTGACTCCCATTCTGCAGAGGACTGGGAAGATACAAAGTAAAGTTAATATTAAAATTCCTAATTTAATGTTATTGTAAGATGGTCACATTTTTTCTAAAAGACTGTAATTTAGGGGCGGAACCTGTGGCTCAAAGGAGTAGGGCACAGGCCCCATAGGCTGGAAGTGGCGGGTTCAAAAAAAGACTGTAATTTATCAAAAATTTCTTTAGCAAGTTGAGTAGAACCATAAACATTCAGATGAGTTTTATGCATTGTTTGAATTTCTTGATGAAGTTTTGCTATATTAAGGTTTTTATTATGGGTAAGGTTACTATTTAACTTTGTTAGTATATGACAAGGAGAGGGAAGGATTTACTACAGGATCTCCTATAGTTAACAAGACAAAAGAAGAACTATGTGACTTCTGGCAGAGGGAATATGAAGAAAGAAATATGGCTATTTTAAGAACAGAGGAGAAGCAGTTGGGGGCTCATTCTCTGAATGTTCCCCTGGCTGTGAGGGCCTTGATGTCTCACAGCCCGCTCTCTATATATAATATGTATTTACATGCAATAAGATAGAAAAATTTATGGGTAGCACATTGCTATTTATCTGTTAGAGGAGAGTTAAGAATACATACATACATGCTTATGGATATATATTAACAAAGAATAGAAGGATACATAATAACATTAAAAACTATCTCCAAGGTGATAGAGGCTATAGGATGAAGAAAAAAGGCTTCTTGGAATACATTTTGATATAACCTTGGGACAATGAAAAAAAATTTTAGTAGCGTTAAAAACAAATATTAAAAAGCAGAGTCCCTGAACGTTAACAGCAAAATTAAGTACATGGAGCTGTGACTACAGATTGTAGCATAAGCACAATGGAAGAAATATTCCAAATACTTTGAAAAATAGTAATATTAACAGGCCTAGTATTATATACCCTAATGTAGCAGTTCTCAGACTTTCTGGTTTCATGATCCATTTATACTCTTAAGAAGTAATAAGGGCTTGAAAACTTATGTTTCTGACAGTTATAAATATTGGCATGACCAAATTAGATATTAAAATTTAACAAAAAGTGTTTTATTAATTTATTTCAAAAAATAAACACATTATGTTAGCATACATAGCATATTTTATGAAAAATATCTACAATTTTAAATGAAAAAATAGTAAGAGTGACATTATTTTATAATTTTGCAAATATCTTCAATGGCTTAATAAAAGACAGCTAGATTCTTGCATTTGTTCTGCATGCAAACTGTTGCAATATAATAATTGAATATTGGTTTCAAACTCATAAAATCATTATTACTAGCAATGTAAGCACATGAAGATATGACTCTTCCCTTAAGTATTCCCATATGCACTCTTTGTTGGGGTCCCAACCTGGAGGCAGGGTCTGCTAAGAACTGTGGAATTGGCCACAACCAATTCCACAACTGAAGAAATAATAAAGTTCAAAATGAGACAAGAAAGAAAGAGAGAAGACAGGCCTGGTGCCAGCCACATACACTGAGGGTGGTGGGTTTGAACCCCGCCCAGGCCAGCTAAACAACTGCAAAGAAAAAATAGCCAGGTGTTGTGGCAGGTTCCTGTAGTCTCAGCTAGATGGGAGGCTGAGGCAAGAGAATTGCTTAAGCCCAAGAATTTTAGGTTGCTGTGAGCTGTGATGCTAGCGTGACATAGTGAATCTGTCTCAAAAAAAAAAAAAAATAGAAAAGAAAGAGACAAGATACACAGAATAGAATTTTCAAAGGTGGAAGCTTAGGAGACAACTGGCCACTTGTGGGTTTGGGCAAGTGGCCCCAAGTCTGTGTTCCACTCAGCTTTTATTCCAATTTCTTTGCCCAGGTGGTAAGCTGGAGGGAACAAAGACACCAGCAGTTTTTCTGAGTGAGTTTATCAGCTTCCATTGTTATTATTATTAACTTTAAGGATTTGAGAAGTTTTGAGGAATTTGGAACTTGACTCTTGTTGAGGGGGGAAAGCCTCCTGTCTGGAGTCACACACAGATTCCTAGGGAGGTGTTAAGCTCCACTAGTGGACTGTGGAGTAAAACCACTGGTGTTGATCTCTTCTGAGGAATTGATGGGAGAGGTATTTTCCTCTCAGTCACCACCAAAGAGGATTTTCCT